GGTGGGGAGGGCAGGGGCCTACTGCCCCCTGTCACGGGCATAAACTGATCTAGTTAATTCCATGACACCCCCTAATTTCCATTCTTTATTCAGTAAGTAGCAATTAGCCAACCTTCAGCATTGGTGCATTTCTTACAGACAACCCAAAGGAGCCAGTACCACTTCAGTGCAAAATAGTAGCTCTTACAGCCGTAATTTATGTTCCAAAAAATAAAAGTGCTATTTCCATAATAAACAAACCAATGGATTATTGCTGATACTTTTAACTATAACCAAAAAGTAATTATCCCCAAATACCATCAAAGATTTACAGGAAGGAGTTACTTTGTCTAGGTTGCATAATTAAAATTTAATAAGTGATCACAAAGCAGAAAAATGGTATGGTGGTGTACTGGCAAATTTTGAAAAACAAAAACATCTCTTACAGCAACATCTAGGAAATTGATGTAATTTCTAGGCATTCTCTTGGTGGTAAAATGAAAATTGAAGGACATAAGAAGCAGTTTATCGAAACAATATGTGAGCACATTGTTTTCAGCTGCAAGCATATATTCCAGTCATGAAATCATTAAGATCATTAGCAGCATTCACAGCCTAACTTAGACAGTGTTTATGGTAAAGCCTTCATGCCCTGTATCTAATGCATATGGTGTCTCTTAATGACTATAATACTAAAAATAAAACCCAAAAAAACAACAATCAACAGTGAAAGAATGCCATTCCATGCTCCCATTTTTACTGCAAATCTGATTTTTTTTGTTATTGTTACATTGAAAAATATCTACAAACTTTATAATGCTTTCTATCAAGGCTAATATTGTTTCATTGGAGTATAAGCTATATGTCAAGATGTTAACACATTTTAAAAACTACTCTAACAGAAAGGGGAAAAAAAAAGTCCTCCTGAAATGATACTGAGAATATTTTAGCATGAAAACTCCCAAAGTTTCTATTGTTCCTTGTTGTATCAAAAATAGGAACATTCAGTAGATAAAATATTACATTTAAGACACAGAATATTAATGCTAGAACGTTGTGTGGTAGGCATCTACAAAAACAGTTGTTCGTATGTGCAGATGGTGATAATTCCTTCTTCAAGAAAATGCATTTTTTCCACAGTTATGGGAATTTTCATAATAATAAACCAAACAAAATCTTGCCCTTGGTAGAAAATACTTGCAGGGAAGTGGGGAAAGAAAAAAAAAGGAAGTTGTGGACAATGAGAACTGCTGATACTGTGCTTTATCAGAATGATTAATAAGTGGTTGTTCAGTGTAGGCTTCACTTGATGGAAAGAAAACATTTGTGATGCCTCTATGGTCCTATTAAGTCTAATTAATTCTCCACATGAAAGAAGAATTAATTAGATTCTAATATTAATTTCCTGTTTTCCTAGAAGAGCTAAATTTTCATGTCATTCTGTTGCAGCCTACATTTTTACATCTACACTTGCTGCATGTCAAAGCGTTTGTCTAACAGGGAGATAAGATGATATTGGACAACTGTAAATGTAAACTATTAAAGCGTTCTAGAGGAACTAGTGTGAAAGGAGTGCAATTAAATGTTAGCAGTGGTAGCGAGGCCATGAGTTACATGCAGAAATGGATATTAACTGTTTTGCCAAACTCTGAACACAAGATAGAGCTTCACACAAGGAATGTAGCTGTAGATGAGCCCTTGCATGTCAGTTAGATCTTGCTTAGGTATTTCTAATGTTTAATTCATGATGAACTGAGTGAGTGCTTGCTTCTATTTCTCTTATACGCTTTCTTTCCTTCAATTTCTTCCGTTTTGCTACTTACTTCTCTTGACGATGAAAAAATAGATCTCTTCAGAAAGCTCCTGGGCAGCACCACCACTCCCAGCCACCACATCTCATGTCTTTCACTCTCCTGGAAATCAGTCACACTTCATGTACCGTGCCCTACTTCTGTGCCTCAGATTCCACTTTCTCCTGTCAGACTTTCACCTTTTTTTTTTTTTTTTTATCCTGACAAACTGCCACTTATCTTTGGTGGTACTATTAATGTTCTCCCTCCTAGAATCACACCCTGCTGTTTTTCCTCAGTATTCAACTGCTTGACCTGATGCACAGAACATAAGAATGTCTATTGTTCTCGCTGTCCTCTTTATCCAGCATAACCTAAGCCTCCCTCCACTCATGTGGGTTCATACACTAAGAATATACAAATCTTGGCTTTTATTTCTAATATATCTCCGTATTTCCTAATCCTTTGTTTCAGTCAGCCTCTGTTCTGCATGTTTCACAATTGTTTTCAACATTCTATATTCAAACTGTTTTTCTGATCATCTCTCCTGAGACTTTTCCATGGCTGGTACTCCTCTTTTCTCCAAAGAACCTGTTATCATCCACAGCAAGACCGTCTCCTGTAGTCTAGGAAGCCAAATTCATTCCTCCTTTGAACAGATATTCTTACAAAAGCTAAAACTGCAAGTAAGAATTGTACAACTGTAGTTCAGGATTTCTGACCGGAGGTATTCAGCCGGTTAGACATTATGGGCTCCTCTATATGAGCTGGAGAGAATCTTGCCTTCTCTTTCTAGCACTTATGACTAGCCAAAAGGAGGAAGGGCTCAGTGTCATGACTTTTTAGTTTAGTCTCATATAATCTCACAGTTCCTGTTCTTTTCCCTTTGTACTGTAGTTCTCTTTTCCTCACCAAGTAGCCAAAGTTGTTTGTCTGCTCTCTGGCTGAAATGTGAACATTGCCCTAAAGTTGCTCTATGAATTTCTTCCCTTTTGATTTTTTGAGTGCAGTAATCCAAAGCCTCATGTCAGACTATTCACTGTGCACAATGGAAATGTGACCTAAAGCCAACTTCACACTATTTATTTATGTACTGACTGTGTTAGTGGAGACATTGCCTTGATTACAAACTGCTAGTCACAATTTATTTATAGAAACAAACCACATTCTCCTTGGTGCAATACTCTAAAAGACTCATCTATACAACTTTATGATGACTAACTTGTATTAGGATGATAAAGATAAATGATAATGTAGAGATAGGTAGCAGTAGATATAGTTGCATTAAACTGGTTTTGGATCATCGAAGAAAGGTAGCAGTCACAGCTGAGTAATAAAGGAAACACTTACCCCTTTCCAAGGATCAGGGCTCACCCAACACTCCAAAAGAGGTAATCTCCCAGTAAAGACCCTTCCCTTCTGGCTGCCAGCTCTTAAATGAGATTAGGGAGAGGTGGAGCCAGGATCCACCACTTCTGGTCTCACAGGTGAATTCCACCTGTGCTGCCAGGGCTGGCTGTGTCCTGTCACCACATTCTGAATCACTGCTTCAGGCTGTGACCTAACAGTTCCCATACAGACAATAATCAGATTGCAAAAATAATTTTAACTTATTATTTTCTTAGGTTTTCCATGCATCTTCATGTTGTGCCTTTCTTTTCCAATACTTAAGTTTTGATGCTTTACTTTCATAAGTACAGAAAAATACTATACATTTCCTCAAATTCTCAGGACATAAAATACTTCTGTTGCTTTTAATTAAATATTAACACTACTGCCAGTTTCTCGTGATTTAACATGTCTAATACCATTAATGTGTGATTAACACACGTGAGTCTTAAATGCAAAGATTCTTTTTTTAAAAACAAACTAATGAAGACAAGGGTGTGCATACAAATAACAACTGAGTGTCTTAACCCTCCTGTCTTAGAATATTTTAAAAAAATTAAGAGCCTTATACATGTATTGACTTTTCTGATGTAGATAACATGGAGTTAGTGGTAAAGAACAGGAATTTTGCAAAGACGTAGCTTTCATAATGAGGTTTATAGTTTGGGTTTAATATTGAGCACTGTAAAAATTCAAGTTCACGAAGGGTAAAATTATATTGTAAAAGCCAACTATCAAATGAAATTTGATGATTACCAGAACCAAAGGTGGCTTGCAATGAATTCTCACACATGCAGCTCAAGTAATTTGTAAAGTAACTCCCATTCTTAGATCTAACCCTTCTAAAATGAAATCAGGAAATCTGAACAACCTTTCTAGTAAGAAAATAATCTGAATTTTATCTGTTTTTCCTAATCTGGCAGTAAGACAAAGAGCATCGTTTATATACAATTAAACATATTAGTTATTTTAACTTATTATACTCTTTAAGTATTATACTCTGCTATACCTTGCAACTAAATTTCTCTAATAAAGAGAATTGACAAATAGGTACAAGATTGTCAGCCCCCCCTCCCCCCAATTAAAGGATGGCATTAGTTGATTTATTTCAAAAGTTGCCATTAGTACAGATTTCTTGGCACAGAGGATATTAAGAATATGAATGGTTCTTAATAACAAAGTCCTTGGAAGTATGGACGGCCCATCCATGTTGTTGGAAAATTTAGTGGCCCAAATGAGGTTCTCATCAGGGATAGATGTAAGTGCAGAGACCTCATGCTTCCTCTGCTTTTTAAGTAAAAATTTCCAAACAAATCAAAAGGCACTCAAGCATGTCTCTCCATGATTTTGTGTGGTTGAACTTGAGTCAGCTGTATGCTAAATATTACTTATTTTCCATTAGTGTACTGAAGCCATATATCACTTCATTTTTTTGCCCAGCTGAATAAGGAGCAGTCATCAATGTGAAACTCTTTTCTTTGCTGTATTATGTGTCAGCACAATAACGCTGGGTTTCCACTGTTTTATAACAGGGGGCAAGTAGGCTGTGGATTGCTGAGACAAACACAGAGAAAGGGACTCACTTTCTGGCTGGTCTTTGACTGCAACTGCACAGCCAAGCAGCTCTTATATGCATTTGGGAGCTCAGAATCTCAAAGTTAGTGTCCATGAGACAGAGCACAATGGCCCTGATGGCATCTTTAGTGTGAAGTGATGGGGTAACGAGGAAACACACTGCTGTATATTGCATTAATGATCATATCTACCTTTTACAAGACACAGATCTTGTTTCCTGAAGCTGTCAACTGAGCAAAAGAATTGCAATTTCTGTGTTCATCTCCGTTTTTCCTCTAAGAAATGGTGCTTCGTACTGCCATGATAGAAAACTGACTGCCTCTTTTGTCTTGGGTTAGTGTTGCTCTCTCTGAAGTTGGGTTCATGTTGGACTCTGCAGACTCTATGGCGCTACACCTGAACATCTGTATCAGACACTTCCTGAACTGAAAGTTGAAACAACAAATGAGAAAAATCAAAACACATAAGGAATTTAAAAATATTTTCCCTTTTTTTTTTTGTCTTCACTAAAAGTCTTGGACATCGTATATGTCCATTGATCATATACAGAAATAGCTCCATAAAATACATTTACATATGGCACCACAAAGAACTGAGAATTTAAAAAGACACAAACTGCTAGAATGCTTCAGTCTAAAAAATCATTTTCCTCTTATGCTTGTTGCTAGCCACATCAATTGAATTGGTCATTTCTGAAGGCTCACAAGTTGCATTCATATGCTAATACCTAGATATTCAAAGATGGTTTGTTTCCATCACATTCATATCCTTGAGCAAGTTAAGACAAGCGTACATCTGCCACGCACTGAGAGATCAGGGTACTGTCCATAGGATGTGGGACAACCAATAGTTGTTTGTTACTGCAGGACTAAATCAATAAATGCATTAATCACTTCACATTCAACCTTCACTCTGCTATTCTACTTCTTTTCCTTTATACCCCAGTATTCTGCTTGATGCCACCCCCTCCTACATTCACAGCACATATCTGTTCAAGGTTTTAATGTACGTGCTACCTCTGGCTCAGGCACGATCACTGTGGTTCATCCCCTTGTCAGTACTTCTCTGCACCCATTTCTCTGACCCCATCCCAGAGAAGACACCCCTGTCACCCAGGGACATGCAATGCTGCAACTCACTCTGTACACACAACCACAGATGCAGCACTTCCCCTGATGAACCTCAGAAGCAATTCACTGGCATTGCATTCCAAGATAACTATGGAAATATAATGGGACAGTCTTGGAAATAAAATCTTCTCACGGAAAACTAGAATAGTTGATGTTCACTAAGAGTTGATTTTCTTTTCCAGTACCTAAATCTAATGATTACTAATATTCATATGTTAATACTGAAACACAGAACAAAACTCTACGCATTAAGCAGACATATAGTGATTAAAAAAATTCTAAATTATGGGTATAGAATGCTGGTTAACTGACAAAGTGGAGAGAAATTATTCATTACAAAACAATACTAAATACTAAAAGTATGAATTTTAAGGACACTCTGAGAGCATACAGTACCTGTTTGTTCATAAAGACATAAATAACTGGATTATAAACAGTAGCCGTTTTGGAAAAGAAAGCTGGAATTGCTGCCAGATGAGGATCCAGTTCAATGGAAGGGTATGCAGTGGCTAGAATAGAAAAGGTGGCATATGGCATCCAGCAGATCAGAAAAGCAATGATCATAACAACCACCATTCTAGTCACTTGTCTTTCAGGTTTCCTGGCAGTTCTCAACCTGCCTTGTGTATCTGACACCTTAAAGAAAAGACAGAGAATTCCAGAAAACAAACCAGGCATTCAAAGAGTAAATACAGTGGAAATCAATAACGATGAGATAATATGTACAAGTTGTCAGGCATCAGTGAAGGCTGTTAGATGCTGAGCAAACATAAGATATTCCCAATCCAAAAAATATATAACACTTCTATAGCACCTCTTCATAAACATGCTACCTAAGTAGAGGGCAACCCAGCCCCCTTTTCAGCAGAAGTGTTGTCATCTTTGGAAAGAAACAGAACAGCTGCTTATCTGTCAATAATACTAAATGAGAGTCCTGAATAAAGGTGCATTTGAAAATGATGTATAAAGATCGTTGAAAGAATAATTACCACTGGTTCTGCACTGCATTGATCTTCCAGGCAAGATGGAAAGGAGGAAGAGGGAAGTTTGATTCTTTCCTGCTTATTTTAGTCTCCACCACTCTTCATGCTTTTATTTGAACTAGTTTATTAGTTCTCCTACTTCTTTTTCTGTGTCTTAGTAGTGCTACGTACATTTCTGTGATTAGCCAGCTCTAAGTGTTTACAGGTCACAAGTCTTGCTCAGCAGGGTCACACGTAGCCCACTGCTGGTGTAACACCTGGGCAGGTGAGCAGTCCTATGCCTGCTGCAGCCCTAGCAGGCACAGCATACGGCTCTGCCAGGCAGCCTCAGGGGTCTGCAGCCCTGCCCTGGATGGACCTGGATGCAAAGTGCATAGTGACTAAGATGTAACTCAGAGCACAAGAGAAGGAAGTGCTTGCAGCATCACATCCAGGACCAGATGATCCTTACTACTGTTTGGTCTTTTTTTTTTTCCCCAGTCTGTTTGTTTTTAATTTAACTTTGAACTGTTGTTATCAACATCGCATTATTTGATTTTCTCAGTTTTAAATTGAAAAAAAGAGGAAATCCTTAACAAAAACAAATGAGTAACTCCTGTTGTTTTGTTTTTGTTTTTTTTTTTTCCCCTTTTTTGGGGTGAAGGTATCTACAAACACATACAACATTTCTCACAGGACCCTGGGAACATTCAGCCCTCACTTTAAGCTGTTCTTTGCGCAGCCTCCAGGATCTACTTTTCATTTTTTAAACTAAAAAATAAAAATGAGTGCAAAAATAATTCTTTAACAAGACATAAGTGAGTACATTTGCTGCCTGGAAACAGGTCTGCTTATGTCTATGATCCTTATGGAAGTCTAAATGTGAAAATTCCAAATGATTGCATACACACACATTTCAAAAATGTAACATGAAAGTGCTTCTTCTTACCTTTGTTAGCTTCTGCAGCAGTTTCCCATAGGATACCAAAATTACCAATAAAGGCACTATAAAACAGGTGGTGAAGAATGCAATAATGTAGGAACGATCATTATAAGCTCCTGAATACCTGTATAAAACACAGAATACATCGTGTATATATCGTGGTTATTTTCTCAAAGTGTTCGGAGACGTCACTAGTAATTTCATCAACTGTTTTTAATCAAAATACCCATGTGCAGCTTTAGTCAAATCACCAGAGAGAGCCCTTGGCCATCTCCCTTCCTCTGGACTGGGAAAGGTTTACTGTGTAAGATCATGAGCACAGAACCAAAAGAACTATGGGGTAGGTTAGGTGGGAAGAAACGTGTAGTGCAACCTCCTGCTCAAAGAACGGTCAGCTATGCTGCTAAAACAAACTGCTCAGGGCTTCATCCAGTCTTCTGAAAATCTATTTGTTCTCTTTGAATCCTGACAAAAACAAACAAACAAAACCCACATATGGAACAGTTACTTTCATTAGAGATGAAAGCTCCTCCTTTTGGGAAAATGTTTTAGAAAATATTTATTTTTAACCCTGGAAATTTTTCTTGATTGTTATCTTTGTCTTCCTCTTTTTTTGGCAGAGAAGACTATCATCCTTAACCCTTTCCTTTGGAACTGTGCCTTTAAGAACTCATGAGCTACAAGTTTAAATTCTACCATACTCTACAAGGACGGCCTTACCAATTAGGCTCACAAGTAGTTCCAATCTTACTGGTGGTGTAGCTGCTCCAACCCATGGTTGGTGGAATGGTCCAAACAAAGGAAAAGGTCCACACAAAGGCAATTCCTTGGGCAGCATGCTTCCCTCTCAAGCGCATATTTCCCAGCGGGCGGCAGATCACGACATACCGCTCAAAAGCCAAAAGAGCAAGAGACCAGAGAGCCACAATGCCTACAGTAAAAAACACAGCATCAAAATCAAATAGACTTACTGAAAAGCAAACCTCGTCCCACACCGCAGTCACAGAATCATTTAGGTCAGAAGGCATCTCTGGAAGTCATCTAGTCCAGTCTGACATGGTTCAAGCAGGATCTACGCAGCAGGGTGCCCAGGACTACATCCAGTCACGTTCCTTTCCATTTTGCATTTGAACTTTCCAGTTGAACTTCTCTGGGCAACTCGTGGCCACGTCTGACTACTTAACACATCAGGAACCTTTTTCAGCGAGTCAGGTTTTCAAAAGATGGGCAAATCATGTGTGTTGCTTTAATATTTTATTAAGAGCACAAGATTTTCATACTTGTCCATTTTGTTAGTATGACTACAAAACTAAGCTTCTAACTGCATCTTAGCTCACAATGACTTTTTCCACTAGGCTTTGCTTTGAAGAACTGCACATTATGCGTAGCTTCCAAACTAACAAATGAAGGTATATCTTCAAAACATTATCTCTGCAAAAAATGTCATATTTCAGGCTGTCATAAGCTCTAACCTACAGACTGCTGCTCACAATATCAAAATATCAGGTTATTTGGGACGGATCATCTGGGTGATCACCAAAATCTTGAAATACTCTGATCTTACTCCACAGGACATGCCTTCCATGCCACAAACCATCATAGTACCATCATCTCCCACAGATAACTTCTCTGGGCAGCTTTATCAGCCTGAGAGCAAAAGTGGGATTCCTCTTCAGCTGAGGACCAACAACGCGTTTGACTCAGAAGTGGCAGAGTTAGAAGAACGGCTTTACTACACAGCTTCTGAAACAGCACTCAAATGTCAGCTGGCAGCAACACAAAAGCCCCGTGGGAGGCAAGAATGAACTTCTATGTCGATGTAATTAGATGTTCCATTTTAAACTAATTTTCTATTTACCCTGTAGAGGTGTAATTACAAAGTGAACTACCTGGTGATGATTTATTTTCCCTTTTAGAGTACTTCAACATGTCTCACATACTTGGAAAACAAAGCCAAGAGAAAGAATCACAGGAAGAAGCAAATGAGGGGGGTGGCAGCCACAGGCACAGCATGGCTCCTCAGAAAAGTTGCAGGACAGCTGACATAAGATGTTTTAGTGACATAATATTGTCCATAGTTTAAGAACAGCCATTTGTTCTCTCTGTCTCATTTAACCAAATACTCATACACCAAGAGATAAACCTGGAAAATAATTATACAGTGAAGTGTTTGTTTTTTTAAAATCACATTGTTTTCCCCGCAACTACTGGCATTCTATTAGCAATTTTTTTCCTCATTATATGAACTATATTCAGAGAACAGTATAGAAGCAGTAAAAGGCTGACATATGACAGCAATAGCGATATGCATTATTCACTCCTATGAGATCCTCCACAGAACACACATAACTGGAAAAGATCCAGTGTGTTCACAGGCATGCAAGGTCAGTGATTTAGGGAGCTGCAGGATAGTGAAACACACCGAAGGAAAACAAGATACAACCACAAACAATATCAAGCTTACCAAAAAACGTGACAGCAAATCCTTCCAGTACACAAGCCCAGTGCCCCATGTAGAAATAGCCTTTTAGATTGGCTAAAAAGCTAATGGTGCCACCAGTCAGTGAGACCAGGAAATCAGCCACAGATAAATTCACTATAACGTAATTGACAGGTTGTCTCAGCTGCTTGAACTTAAAAGTTACCAGGATCACAGCCAGGTTCTCAGCAAGAGACAGGGAGGTCACCACGAACATCACTGCTGCCACAAGCCTGAAGTGCCAGGGCTGGATGGAGTCCAAGGGACGGTGGAAGGGATCCCATGGAGCCGGACCAGAGGAGTTGGACAACAGCGACTCATTTCCAAGTGCTCTGAATACATCCATCTTTTCCCCCTCGCTAATGAAAATAATATTGGATAATAATGAAGTTTTTAATCTGTAAAGAATATTCAAGATTAAAAGGAGAAACCAAATATAAACAAACTGTCCATGCCTCTGCTTTCTGGTATTAGTCCAGAAAACAATATAGGAAGAGGGATACGCAAGGGAATCTCTTGGAGTGCTTCTGCCCTTCTCTGCTGGCAATCTGCTGCCTCTCTAGAGGCAGATGCTGTTTCTTCATAATAAGAGCCAGCTATGGAAGATGCAGGTTCCTCCTTCTGTAGCAGCTACTAGCAATGCTGAAATCAGATCATTCCTATTCCAGGGGGAAAACCAGAATGTCTGCCTGATCACTTCCCGACCTCCAGCACAGTGGAAAACAAAGCTTTCCTTTTGTCAGCAGTGAGGATGGAGTGATCTTCCCCACACGTTGCACTGCTGGGATTACAGCAGAGTCCTGTCTGACTGAAGGAGGTCTGCCCTGAAAAGATTAACGCTGGAGTATCTTAGCAGCTGTAAACTTGGCAAGGGAGACTGCATTCTAACCCGTTTATATCTCAGGCTAACTCATGGCCCCAGCAATGAAGCTTCAAATTAGCGTTCTGTGGTATTTAGAAATTAAGAGAAATTCTACTATCAGAGACAGCACAGACATACATTTCATTTCTAATTGTAACTAAGAGCGTAGCCAGGAGGTAAGCTGGGTAGAGAGAAACAATCTTAAGCTTGAATTGAACAGAATGTACGCTATTTTTTTTTCTAATTTTGTTAATAACATTAATACCCAGTTGGGACAGCAGATTTTCTTAAACTGCTTTGAAACCTGGGATGGGCAAGCTTTGCTGCCAGGCAGTTCCATGCGTAGCATGAGAGCTGCCCCAGGCCCCAGAAGTAGGAATGCTGCACACCTACAGGAGCTGGTGGCTGGCACAGCTCACTGCAACTGCTGTAGAAGAGCTCCCATATAATCCAGTAGGAGCTGGCAAGGAAAAGCAAGGCTCTCCAGTGGCCTAGAGAGTGAATGCACCTTGGGCTGGGGGGAGCACAAAGGAAGGAAAAGACCCACAAGAAGCTGAAGGGATCTCTTTGAAGTAGAGCAAAATTTTAAACATATCCAACATAAATCAGTCCTACCAGTTCAGAGTTGCTGGGTGTTTTTAAAGCAATGTGACAAAAACAACAACAACAAAAAAAACAGCAGCAAATGATTTTTGGCATTAGTTGTCCTTATATTAATTTCTCAATATGCTGTATTTCATAATGCCAATTGCATATCCCTAATGAGAATATAAGAACTCAGGACATACATACACTATAGTATTTTTAAAAACACAGTAAGGACACTTTTTTTCTGTCTTCTGTACAGGAGTTTCCAGTCTATGGTTTACATGCAAACAGAAGTTAAAGGCAATGCACAAGCATTTATTTTAAATCAGTAATCCAGCAGAAATTATAATTTACGCATAGAAATTACTACACATTATAAACCTAAAAACCTTAATTATCAGGTTACACAAGAAAAGGAGAGCAGCTGCAAAACTCGATGGCAGACTTCATAGTTATATTAATCAGAACTGCTTTGATGAATCTCATTTTTCTACTATCAATATAAGCCCTTCTTCTTTTAGAAACTGTTGAAACTCGTGTGTAGGCAGTGAGTTCTCCATTCAGTGAAATCTCGGGAAATTTAGATAAGTACTCTCCTCCTGCTGCCTAACTTCACCTAAATGACTCAGTGTAACTCCAAAGAAGCAAGCAGAGTGCAGTACCATAAGATTATAAAGATGTGTTGAAGTACATCCCTATAATCTGATGCAGAACCTTCTGTAGGAAGATACTTTATAAATCAAATCTGAACAAACAAGAGTCACCGCAAAAGTCATTATCAGAAAAGCAGTCTTTTCCAGTGTGCTGCTCTGGGACAAGCACCAGGATAACTGCAGGATTTTCATTAACTGGTAGCATTTAACAAAGCTGCTAGCTAAATAAAATATGTTCTATTAATGAAGAATAAGCAATTAATTCTAATAGATAAGTGCATATTGAGCATAGGAAAAGGAAATAACTTGTTAGCAGGCTGCATTTACTTACCACCTGTTAATGATCTTTTTTGGTTTGGAGCCTCATCTGAGCAGGTAAGACTTTAAGTCCTGACTGCTTTGCAAAGCACGGTTAAACTCAGTTCCTTTGGTACTGCGTAAGAACAATGAAGTAAAAGATAATGATAGTTCTACCAGATCTGACTGAATGTCACTATGAAAGTTTTTTTCACAGATTTTTGAGTGTTTTTCACCCATCTGCATTCACATGATGAATCTGTTAAAACTTCAATAGAAGAATAGCTGTTAAGAAGCAATAAAGTAGATCTGCTTTGAAAGTGATGAGTGTGTGGTCATAAAGATCAAGAAAATGCCTTAATTGTTTTTCTCCAGAAACTGCATATCAATCAAATGATCTGTGCAAATTGTTGTCCATTATGTTCACTTGGTAATTCAAAGTACTAATACTGCTCATGTGATAGTTCTCATCTAAGAGTGTTTTTTCTTCCTACTCTGAAAACCTCTTTCAGAGAACCGAATTATACAAGCAGTCCTACCATCTTGATGGGGATTATGTCAATGAGAATCTTTAGCCTTAACTGCCATTGGTAAAAAAAAGTTTGTTATTAGATAAATCAAAATCCTTTTTCTATTTTGCAGTCCCTGAAGACAGTAAGTAGGATTTGCCCTAAACCTGGATTGAGACCAAATATTTGAAGATACTAAAGTCAAAATTCAGTCCCCAGCTTTGCATTCAGCATTATATTTATATTTAGTAAAACAATGAGAAAGAAATTACAACTTGTGTGAGCGTCATCAGAGCTTAAAGCTCAACAGTCAGATAGACCCTCACCCCCATTTTAAGTGATTTTAGAGAGTGATCACATTTATAAGTCTTATTTCTGTAAGACTTGATGACAGACATTTAATAATTAATGAGATTACGTCTAGATTGCAGTTATAAAGCCGGCTGTGATGCAGTAAGGAGTTTTACCTGGCAGTTCCATCAGCACAGGCAGCACATGCTGACTTTGCCCGTCAAGGAGCAGTGGGAGCACAAGGGACAGGAGACATCTGGGACCACTTTCCGACCCACGGAGGCAGAAGCCTGCTGGAGACACTCAGCTGGGCCAGCCATGCTCCGGGCTGCCCACACATGGGAAGGCAATACATGCCTCAGGCTACGGGAAGTGCGAGAAAACGCTCAGCGTGCATTAAGGCAAACATCACTTGTCTGTAACATTCCCACTCAAAATAGAAACAAAACCAAAAACGTTTCACAACTTGACAGAGCAATTCAACAAAACGTATAAAACAAAAACATAAGCAAAGCCAACAAAGCTGTTTATTCAGGTGACAAAGCACTTATCTGCGGGGGTAAAATCAGACCAATCGCTACAAAGTAAGCAAAGCAGATTTCATCCAGAGCTGCAAGCTTTCTAAGGCTTCGAAATTTTTAATCAAATGCTCATTGCTGTATCTTTGCCTGAGCTTTAAGCCGTTGCTGAGCAACAGTGATAAACATGACCCTCTTCTCTTTCCTTCCTGGATTTGGCTGACTTGCCCTGAAGTAGTCAAACAGATTGACAAATACAGAAGAAAGCCCATCTAAGTTAACTTTGTTTCAAAATCTGCCATGTTTAGATATCATTCCCAAAGACTACAGGAACAAGGTAAAAACAAACAATGCAGTCAGTAGTTTCCATCATTTTATTGTAGCTAAGTGCACCTGAGAAGTCTGACAGCATAGAAACCAACAGAGGCGAGACCACGGGATAATGCTCAGCTGCAGACAGTGCACAGAGAGGAGAGATGGGAAAGCACAAGGGATTTGTCACCAAGCAGCCTGCATCATGAACACACAGCTGTGCAGAAGGTCAACTTCAGCCATGCCATCAAGTATACTGGACTTCTGACATTAACTGCAAGCATCAGGACACAGCAGGAACTTCGTTGCCTCCTGTACTTCAGTGTTAATATAAATTTAGGAAAAAGAACGTGCCTCTGTTTTGGGCACTGAAGAGCACAAAGCTCACATTTAGCCATATTCCCATCAGTCAGTCAGTATCCTCTGGAAGAGAGCTATTAAAAAGATTGAATTTAGAGAGAAAGTGAAAACACAGCAGTAGGTGAGGAGAATGGTTGAGAGGATATCTGCAGTGTGTCCTCACAGGAATTTGGAAGAAAGATCTGAAGTCACCGAAATAAAACTAATGCCAAACATGGCATTAAGCAGGCCCTTCTCATCCTGAGGCTTCCAGAGAACTCTCTGTGGGTGGATTATCCCCTCAGACCTCAAGAAAACAGCAGATCAAGTTATTATGGAAACAGTAGGCTGCAAAGACCAGACTCCCAGATTCTTCTCTTACAGATACAGAAAATTAAACCATTCTGATAAGGAAGTATGTCAGATGATCCAGAAGCAAAAAACAAATAAATTTAGCCTGTTCAGAAGCATCTGTGACGACTGCTGTAAAAAGAACTTCAAAACCTACAAATGGCTTCAGCCATTCATACAAAACACAATGGTCTGAAGGCCTAACAGAAAACTGGATTTGCACATATAGACAGACTTGTTAGCTCAGGTATTAATAACAGCAGCACCATTTTTAATGGCTTATGGTTAACTGGGCTCTGGGTATCTACAAGATAACCTAAATCCTGCACTTGCTCTGATAGTACTTCAAGTAGCTATAGCTTACAGCTGATTCAGGTACACACACACACAAACCACAGTAAGGACTGGAGATTGCTTTCTCAGAAATGGGTTAATCACAAAAGAAGGTTTTTGAGCATAGAACTTCAGTGGAGAATAGCAGTGTCCTTCTCCCCAGATACATGTATGGTTGTTGCCCTCTTTACAGTCCTACAGACCTTAAAGATCATCTAATTCCCATCTCCCTGCTGTGACTGGTTGTTTTGGTGGTGTTAGATTCAGCAGTCATCTTTATTTATTAATTTGCCTGC